TTTTTTTTGAGGTAGATACCAACAGTAACGAACATATATACGCTCTTGCACACATCCTTACAATCATTTTTTACACTAAAGTCAATACATCCAATGATTCAAGCCGTCATTTAGTCCGTCTAGAGGGACCAGACCTTATTAACCCATTAAAGAATATCGTGCTCCTGTAGTATTTATATTATTCATCAAGTGTTCTTATAATTTTTTCATGCTTTCAAGTATAAGCTTAGCTCACAGCCTTTTAGAGAATCTTGAGGCATTTTGATACAGGAATCATTCATTTCCAACTACAGCCATAAGAGAAATTCAAAGTTAATGTAAGGACAATTTAAAAGGTCGTCAATGGGTTCAAAATTATTGGAAACACAATTCATTCCATTTGAGCAAATCGATCTCAGAAAAGTTCTCGAGGACCTTGAAAACGATAGGTCCAACAGCTCAAGATACGATTTATATAATACTTTACCATTCTAAACCCAGCCCAGGTCGCTCGGGTTTATCCACTTTTGAAGGATAAAGGATGGAGTCTCGGACGTTAATCAATCCCGCGCCTGAGGGATGCACCCGCGCATTCAATTTCGATCCGGAATCGTAGCGGCGTATTGAATACGTAGGTGGCCTATATATACAATGACTGCTGTGGCCAGCCGCTGTACAAGTCAGTGCCCTTGTCCACCCATACGTGTCTTGGAAAAGTTAACCAGGAAGAGCAGATATCTATCCATGTTTCGGTCTCCTGACCGCGTAAGTCGTAGTGCCCTAATTAGCTACACCCCTCATGCGATGTAGGCTGTTCGAGCCACTGTCAGTAACTTTCTTTCTAAAACATGCAATCATGAGGAATTGTTCGCGGACTAACTTCGAATCCCGACTTGATCAAAAAAGTCNATGAACGATTTCGTAGCAGTCGTTCAGTTCAATCATGAATCAACTTATTGTAAGCCACGGAGTCCTTTGATGAATAATGATCTTTTGCAAAATAGTCGAAGAACAAGTTTCCATTTCTTCGGTCACACTCAAATTTCTTTAGAATCATTTGCTCAGCAAGTGCAATTGAAAGATTTGTTTTTGTGCGCAAGCACTCGTCATATGAGGATGTTTGGTGTAAAATGATAGGCGATAACAATTCGTTTGAGGAACTATTTATAGAGAAAAGTATAATATCTTCTCCCTATCATGAAGGAAGACTGGTTTCACTATTATTTTGCATGTTCGAATGTTTTCGAATCATGTGCGTGATGTTCAAAGGGAAGCCAACGGTCATATATGAGGGGCATAGCCATGTATGGAAGACATTGGCGATCTTTGTAGGTTGGGTCTTTTTACTTGGCGTTAAGACGGAGGCCAAACACGTCTCATCCTCAAGGATCGTTCTCAAAGCACAAAAACGAATGGAACGCAGGTGAATTATAGGTATGAGCGTGGGGGACGTTCGATTCTAAACATGAAACAAGATCACCTCGCGCGCGGCGCAACCCACTGCAATGTCGAGACGGACATGTTTATACCGTTTAAAGCTCCGGGGTTTGAATAATCTTTCCCGCGCGCGGACATTCTAATACACCACCGGCGCTGCAGCGGTTCTGCACGTTTCTGGGTGTGCGACGTTAGTCTCGACTGACATTACTTTGCGCCGAGGTGCGAAGTGACCTCATTAATGACTAACCTCATCTTAATTACGCGC